CTTTGTTTGAGCTCAACCAAAGCTCATTATGGGCATTGAAATAACTACGTCTGAAGCGGGGTGATTGATGTTCAGGAAGTCGACCTTGACAGCGAGGTATTCAAGCAGCTCATGGTTCGAGGGAGAACGATAAAGGCAGGAAATAAGTGGGGGATGTTTTGAAGTTCAGGCGCAGTTACAGAACGTCCTTCCAGTCTGTTTCCAAGGAAACGTCTCTGGAGCAGAAAAGACTGCTGCGTACAAAGCCACAACTGTCCCGTTCTTTCTCAGATTGGAGAGCAGTAATCTGAGATGTTTGTCTCCGCCCAGAAAAGCGTGGCGGACAAATGGATTGCAGATGTTCGTGAAACAAATTTTAACATCGATGTTGTTTTGACTATTTTGGCAAAAAGTGTCTACTATGCTGAGAGTGAAATAGCTTTGTAGGTCCTGAAAATTGGTTCAGTCGCGGCGGAGATACGGAAAAAAATCGCTGAGACGTCGTGTTTCGACGTTTTAGAGATCCCCGCTTACGGTCAGAAATTTTACGGAGTTGTTGAAAATTGAGGGTTTGCTGTTGTATTGGGTAAACGATAGTTAATATTATATTTTTGGTATTAGTGAGACATTCCGTTATTAAGAAGGTCTAATAATACATATATTTTCCATATATCTACCACAGGTACAGGAATTTGATAGATTTATTTTATATATACTAAGTGACATATAAATCCGAACACCCAGTTTAAATGGTTTCATTTTAATAAAATTTTGTGTAAGTACTCAATGAAGCATTGCACTGCTTTAAAGCCCTTTGACCTTTAATAATGTGTGGATGCAGCCTGATGTGCTACGCATTCTCCAACGCGCCTAGGCATGCTTCTGATTAGGTGGTCAATGTCCTCCTGTGGTATCTCATTCCAGGCAACCACCAACTCCTCTCGAAGTGCTTCTAGAGTCTGAGGAGGACGTTGCAAATTGAGCAATCTCCTACCCATCATGTCCCACACGTGCTCAATTGGGGATAAGTCGGGAGATCTTGGTGGCCATGGTAACAATGTGACATCATTATGTTGAAAGAAGTCTATTGTGACTCTTGCAACATGTGGTCGGGCATTATCTTGTTGGAAAGTTGGATCTGCCAGGGTGTCAAGATAGGGTAAAAGATGGGGTTCTAGAACTTCGTGGATATAACACTGCGCGTTCATGTTACCTCTGATGAAGATTAAAGGTGACCTGGAACCATAAGCTATAGCACCCCAAACCATAACTCCAACAGTGTGATGAACATGTCTTTCAACAAAAAACTGTGGATTCCTCCTTTCACCACGTCGCCTTCTAACCCTGGCACGACCATCGTGCATGCCTAAACAAAATCGAGACTCGTCACTAAAGACAAGACTGTTCCACTCCTGATCCCAGAGTGACCGTTGTCTGCACCACTCAAGGCGATTACGTCGGTGTTCTCGAGTTAAAGGGAGGACCCAGTGTGGCCGGTATGAAAACAAGCCAAAACTTCTCATTCGTCGGTAAGCACTTCGCATGCCAATAGGTCTTCCGTGTTCTGCAAACCATTCATTTGCAATGGAGCTGGTAGTGGAGAAACGGTCCCTTAAGGCCAATAATCTTAGGCGTCGATCTTCACGGTCTGTTGTTCTACGGCGGCGTCCAGTGCCGCTTGCTCTTTGCGTACGGCCTTCTCGAAGCCATGCCTGACAACACCTAACCACAGCGTCTACACTTCTTTGCACTCTAACTGTAATTGCCCGAAAAGAATGTCCAGCTTCCCGAAGTCCCACTATACAGCCCCTATCAAACTCACTAAGTTGACGAAATCGTACAGGTCTCCGTACTCTAGGCATCGTAACCGATCGTAAAGGATGTCAAGAACCAAAATCCGCCAACATTGATTCTTTACTGCGGCTAAAATATTCATTTTTAGAGCGTTAGTGAATTAAAAAAAAGTAGTATAAAAACCGGAATGTTCAACTGATAAGGCTGAAAATTTTTTCACTTGTTATTTACAGTAAGATAAAGACATTCACCAACTTTTATTAAAATAAAACCATTTAAACTGGGTGTTCGGATTTATATGTCACTTAGTATATTATATTTCTGTTTAATGGCGACAAATGTTGCGAAATGTGGAAGTAAACTATTCTTTCTCCCTCCACAAAGTGGAAATCGTCGTGCCACTGCGGAAGGTCTCGATACAAATAATTCCTCCCACGTGGGGTCAACTGAGACCTGACAAGGCGCAACACAGCAAATCTGGCAACGTCTTTCGTGGTGAAAAAACGGCTGGCAACACTGTCAATATTGATAGTGTCACTTGTCTTTCATACGTCTTTCATCAACGTCACCGCTGTCAAGCTGCCATTTTTCCTTTACCGACGTGTGGAGTGGCTTGGAATAATGCTGCTCCGTACAGACTTATTATCAAGATAAATATACATTTCTGTCAGATACTTCGAGTTCATGCCTTACACATTTAGAAGTAAGTAAAAGTCAATTAACAGAAATGGAATCGAAAATGTATCAAATTCACCGCAACATAAATTGATGTTAACATCCCCCAATGCCCTACATGTGGGGAAGCACTGTTCTCTGATGAGTTGGCCCCATTACAATTGTATGTTCATTTCAAGGAACAGGACAAGAAGCAGAGTTTGACATACGCAAATGACAAACTAAGTCATCTACTAGATGTTATCCATGTAAAACTGTATAGTTTTTTTAATAAGATTACCGATTTGCCTAATGATGAAGCCTCCTTCAAAACAGGTCTGACACAATTTCTTGAAAATTTTCAGCCTTGCAATTTTAATGATAAACTCTAAAATATCATTAACAAATGCATTACACTGACAATCTTCTAGTATATTAAACATAAAAATTCTTTGAAAAGACCTCTTGAAACATCTGATGGTCATTCAAGGAAAATGAAAAAGTTGAATGCCACCAGGTAAATCATTTTCGAATATTTGCTGCCGGTTTTTTAATTATTTCATGTAGCTCCATAGATGAACCATCACAAACCCGGCTGTGACATACCTGACCAGGACATTTTTACCATATTGTGATAGAATTGTGTTTTATTTAAGTTTTTAGAATTTTATGTTGAGGTATTAAATTACTATACAGGGTGTCCGCAAAGTTGAGGTTTTCCTTTACACGACGTGTAGATCTTGAAAACACAAGCAATTTTTCTTAGTACCATATACACCAATGTCTTAATGGAACCGAGATAAAGGGCTCTGCAACATCAAAAATATCTGAATACCGTCCTGTAGCCGCGACATCCCCGACTGCTACTAGGACACTAGCTCAACCCCACGACAGAACTGGGTCGGGGTCAGTGTGTCAGGTCAGTATGCAACCTTCAACCGACGGTTACGGTCACGCGTCTAGAGGTAATCGCGTAGACGAGAATCCCTCAACAAGCACTAGAGACGTGGCTAGAGAAGTGCAAGTATCAAAAACTAAAGTGTGGCAAACGCTGCTTGAAGAGGGGCTGTATCCGTTTCACGTCCAACGTGTACAAGCCCTTCAACCTGACGATTTTCCAGCAAGAGTGCGGTTTTTTGAGTGGTTGTTGCATCAACATGACAATAATCCGGACTTTTTGAAGTGCATATTGGTGACAGACGAATCTACGTTGACGCGTAATGGGGTGAATAACTTTCGCAACACTCATGTTTGGTCAGTAGAAAATCCGCACGCTGTCCATCGGGCACATTTTCAACAAACATTTTCGGTGAATGTTTGGGCTGGCATGGTGAACGGTATGCTCATTGGACCATTTATTCTCCCAAATCGATTGGACGGGATGCAATACCTAGACTTTTTACGCAACATTTTGCCTTCCTTGTTTGCCTGCGTCTGCTCTGTACCGCATCAGCTGATTTCATTTTCTGTTGGAGCGGTATGATTTCGGGCAGAGACGTACTTAGCCCTTCTCGTCAACTGGAGAGTGAGTACTTTTTCTTTTATTTTTTTTACTTGGTCGCCCTTGTTTCACTACACGTTACCTTTGTTATTTCAAGGGTAGTTGTTTCTGAAAAGGAAAACCCCCACCCTGTATATGGCCTGTACCATATACATACATACTTATGTAAAATAAATGTAAAATTTTGCAAATTAATGTTCATTCAGAAGTATAATGTTATGTTTGATTGATGATTTCTTATTGAATTTTTGTTGAGTGTAGTATCATGGGTTTTTTGTAGTTCCCTTATGATCGTACATTCGAATTATTATTCAGAAACCTCGCATGTGGGTTTCTGATTCTTCATTGCACTATACTGCAAATGCACCACATTACGTTATCTACCAGAATAAAGTTATTTTCCTAATTATATTGTTTTATTTATCACTCTTGAACGAACCCAATCACAAATACACGTGAGATGTTTGAATTGTCTTTCCTAATACAAAATTAATTTTTGTTATTAGGAAAACCATTAAAACAACCAAATAAAGATGACAATGAGTGACAGATGTGGTGAGAAAGTAGGCAACCATGAGAGCACCGCCGTATGTCATTGTAAGAAACATGGCGGCATATGTCATTTCGTCGAATTGTTCTGAGTGGCAGGCGTTCTTTGTGTCATTTGTTCTTTCACCACGACAACATGGCGACATTCGTGCTGCTGGTTGAATTACACTGAGTTTCAGTGTATATTTTATGATTCCTCGTATTACGTTGCTCCAATTAGATTCAGGCACAGGTTATACCTCCAGATTACAGATTATGACATCCCTATCTGGTTCAGACTATACTGTATGTACCTGTATGTGCATCGATATGCTTACGGATTTCATAACTTTTTGTTGTCTTACGATTTTCAATGTAATACTGGAACATAAACGGAATGTCGTCCACAAGGGATTGTGGATTCTTTGTAAATTATGGCTATTATGTTGTAGTTTATTAAATCGTAGGCTATCTGGAAAACTAATTATATTCGGTCTTAGAGTATAAGGACACCAAAGACAGTTTTAATGTCGTTTTGACTCACCTTGGTAGCTTGGTACGCAAGCAGCGTCAACATCACAGTTGCAGTTAACATGTGAAGCAGTAAAGCTACACCGTAAGCATCACCAATGGCAGTTACAAGCCTGTAACACATGTTTCGATATATATAAAGAGAAAATGATCATGCGGAGAAAGGTATATAACAAAAAGTAGAAAAATAATGGGCAAAATCCACAAAAAAGAGGAAAGTGGACTCGAGCAGAAAATAGGATAGGTAACCCGAGCGATACGTATTTCTGCTGGTTGGCTTCATAAGACCCAAAATGAATGCACATATGAAACTACAAAAGTAGATACACATGCCCACACATCCGAATACGGGTGTAACCTGAGGAAACGAAGATGGAGAGGGAAAAAAACGACACACGAAGTCCACAACAAGAGCCAACCCACACATTGTAGTATAAAATGGCTAGAAGACCTTGTACTACCACAGCAAGTAGCTATAATCGGCCGCGTGGTTGTGGTTAGATGTCTCCTTGAAAATTCGATGTCTTCTAGCCAATTTATACTACAATGTGTAGGTTGGCTCTTGTTGTGGACTTCGTGTGTCGCTTTTTTCCCTCTCCATCTTCGTTTCCCCAGGTTACACCCGTATCCGGATGTGTGGCCATGTGTATCTACTTTTGTAGTTTCATACGTGCATTCATTTCGCGCCTGATGAAGCCAACCAGCAGAAATACTTATCGCTCGGGTTACCTATCCTATTTTCTGCTCGAATCCACTTTCCTGTTTTTGCGGATTTTGTCCATTTTATTTGTACTTTTTGTTATATATAAATATTTTTACAAATAAATAGCAGCATCATGGTAATAACTTAAATAGCACGTGCTTATTAGACAGAAAAAAATACTCGAAAACCGTGAAATCTCAGGCGATTTGAGCTCGCTACCGAACTGGTCGACTGTAATTTCATGATGTTCGAATCTGAAAGTCCGATGCGTCGGATGATGGCAGAGGAATGACATTCAGGGAAGTCCGCAGACTCAGAACTGACATGCTCTGAGTGGTTTAGGAATTGGTATGCTCCTTGGGAGTTCCCATAACGGGCTTATATCCCTTAGTGTCATATCAACCTTGTTCTTTTAAAGGGGCCGATACGAATGTGTAATAAGAAGTAGTACATTCTATTCAAGAATGTGGGTCAAAATTAGGATACCCTGTATAATTGTCAATACCTCAGAAATATGCCCCCAGATACGAGATACAGGGTTTTAAATTGAAAACTTCCATCCACGGATTTATCGAAAACCACCGGTTAAAAGAAAAAACGCCGAGACAAGTCAGAAAATCTTTATCTAAACTGAATCCAAATTCAAGATGAGATGTAAATAATAACAGCGCGTGATCTCTCGGTAACAGGTGGGAACAACGACTCTTATTGGTCAATTCGCCATTAAATTTCAAGCGGTCGACTGGCGGAATAATGCACGGGGCAGGGGCAGGGCAGGCAGAGTTGCATTCAGGCCAGCGACCGTCGCGTGTATCACTGCGTGCTCGTGTTTTCGTATTCACCTTGCTTGGTTGTTGCTGTTGTTGTTGTTAAGTGTATTTGAGTAATTTGTTAAGTTTCTGATTGTTATTGTTATTCCTCGTTATTATTTGTTTTGAACCAATCCTGAACATGTCCAGAGCAGATACTGCTGACGAGCCCTCCTAGAAAGGGATAAAAAAAGACATCTTAGCGTAGACATAAAAGACGTCATATTGAATACATTCAAGATAGAGCGGAAGGAAGACGAAACATCAACACTAACCCGAAAATAGCTCTGAAAGTGGTAGATAAAATTGGGGTATGCCAAGCGACAGTGTACAATGTTTTGAACGAACGTAACAAAAAGCATGCCTTTTCCAAGCCAATGACGAGTTTTTCTTCAGAAACGAAATACCGACAGTTGATAAAGTACTACGGGAGGTTAACGAGGATGCTATGTTACCAAATTTTAAACGTTCGACTATTCATAAACTTTTGAAGCATTTTAATTTCGAATGGAAGAAACGAGATCGTAACAGCTTACTTATGGATAGAGAAGAAATTGTTCTGTGGAGGAGAGAGTACCTGACCAAAATTAAATCATTCAGGGATCAGTACAGGAAGATCTATTACCTGGACGATACCCGGATTAACGCTGGTCACACTACTCCAAAGGTTGACAAAACTGTGACTTCATCCAGAAGGGCATTTCTAGATGAACTGTCGACCGGATTGAAAAATCCAGCAGGTAAATAGATCGAAGTAGTTCACGGTATAAATTTTTGCTCACAATATCTCTCTATCTTCGTACCTACAAGACGTGCATGTGTACTTAGTGGATTTTATCTTTCTAGGCAAAGGAAAAAGGCTCATTATTTGCCACATTGGGGGTGTAGATGGCTTCGTGGATGACGTTTCTGTTTGTTATTGTTATTCCTCGTTATTATTTGTTTTGAACCAATCCTGAACATGTCCAGTACAGATACTGCTGACGAGGCTGTAGGCTACTCCCTTAGCCCTCCTAGAAAGCGATAAAAAAAGACATCTTAGCGCAGACATGAAAGACGTCATATTGAATACATTCAAGATAGAGCGGAAGGAAGACGAAACATCAACTAACCCGAAAATAGCTCTGAAAGTGGCCGATAAAATTGGGGTATGCCAAGAGACAGTGTACAATTTTTTGAACGAACATAAGAAAAAGCATGCCTTTTCCAAACCAATGACGGGTAAAAATCGCAAAAGTATCATGAGATCGTTGGATGACGCTGACAAGCATGCGATTCAGAGGAAAGTGCACGAGTTCTTCTTCAGAAACGAAATACCGACAGTTGATAAAGTACTACGGGAGGTTAACGAGGATGCTATGTTACCAAATTTTAAACGTTCGACTATTCATAAACTTTTGAAGCATCTTAATTTCGAATGGAAGAAACGAGATCGTAACAGCTTACTGAATGGATAGAGAAGAAATTGTTCGGTGGAGGAGAGAGTACCTGACCAAAATTAAATCATTCAGGGATCAGTACAGGAAGGTCTATTACCTGGACGAAACCTGGATTAACCTATAACATATATCAAAATACATGAAAGTTGTCCTGTTTTTTCCGTACAAAAGCATCATGTTGGAATCAAAAAGTTGTCTTGTTTATAATACAGTCTAATTTTCACGATTTTATTCAATATTTCAATAGAAATCACTAATATTCAGAGACCTTTGACAGCTTCCGTCAAATTGCATTTCGATAAGGTATTTTTCCATTGGTCCATAATATTAATGTTGGTGAAATTGGCCCTAAGAATCCTCCACCACCAACTCCCGATTTTCGAGCCCTCAAAAAATTAAATTGTTGTGTACGTACCTCACAACGTGCTTATGCCTTTCTACCCAGTACTTTATCGCTGATCTCACCATAAGTTCTTGTTTCTTGCTAAGACCGTTTGGACCCACTCCTCCGCCTCCTTGACCGAATGTTTGAAGAGCTCCGCTCCGGAAGTGACCGCCCAGCTCCTGCCTGGCGTTGTAGACGCCTTTCAGGTTCAGCTCCTCGTTTTTAGCATTGTAGTCTACAAAAATAGGCGTGAACAATACTCAGGCGTTTCGCTCAGCAGAAGCGTTGAATCGTTAGTTTAGTGTAGAAGGTACTCACCATTTTCTATCATATTATCTTGAGAAGTTGCGCTTGGTGCTCTGAACAAATCTGCACTCTTGGGCACATAGGTATCCAATGATGCGGATAGTTCCTATAAAAGCCACAATGTTGTTTTTAAATTATTCCAACAGACAGAGAAATAACACCAGTCCGATGTAGGTCATGTCTTGGGTGACAACAAATGTGAGTTAACGTCATCGTAGCTATATAGATCTATTCACGGTTTTTGGCGGGTCATAGTAAATCTTCAGGAACTATAGTCAACGCCAAACAAAGTGGCGTGCACGTCATCAAGGTGGGTGTGTTGAAAAATTTACATTGTTGCCAAACTTTTTGTAAAATAATAAAATTTATTATTTACATATCTAGGTTTATAAGCAATATTAACCTCAAATGAGAACAAAAATAATAGTATAATAAAATTATAGATCTGTACTTGCATAATCATTAAGTATGACAATTATTGATCAGATGACACTATGAAACTACCATATTTCATTGATAGCTTAAAGGTACTGAATAAAAATCCAAATGGGGTCCTCCAAATTTTATGCATGGTATTTATTTTACAGAATTCATACAGAAAAATGCATTCTAAAATTAGGTAAGCTACTGGTGTAAGCTTTTTCTGTACAATAAAGTTAGTCGGTGTTTCTTTCTTCAGCGCTGTCTGAATCTGAATCTTCATCACTCTCAAAGTTGATTATTAAAGGTTCGATGTCTGGTCGATCAAAAATTCGTTCTCTTTCATACCATTTAAAAATTTCTTGCTCAGTATGTCGAACACTATTTTTCCACATGTCTGGGGTAACCGTTTGTAGAGCCTCGTTCCACATATCCAAACAGTCTTTTTCACTGTTACCATCTCTACCAATATGTCTGTTATAGTAACCTTTTGCTATGCCCCAAATTAACTCAATAGGGTTAAATATACAATGGTAAGGAGGCAGACGAAGAACTTTGTGCCCATGTTGTTCCGCCAATTCATCAATCACGTATATTTTAGGTGGTTTGTTTCTAAAAAAGCAGTTATTTTAAGAATAGGAATAAACAAAAGAAATATAAACTGTCGACCAAAATATATATAATTAAGAAGCATTATGTACCGAGCAACAATACTCAATAGCTCTGTTTTAAACATTGTGTTTAAAAATGGTATGTTTTGATTTGTCAACCAGTCTTGGATATTTTTTTTTGTCCATGCATTGTTGGGCACTTTGTTCAATATCATGCTGTGATAAGGGGCGTTATCTAACTGATGTTGAAACCATTTCAAAAATTGTCCTGGTTCATCTCTCCATGGTAATCGCTCAATTTTGTTTTCGAAGAAAATATCGCTTCACTACCCTCAATAAACCCATTTTCATTTCCAGCATGTAATATAATGTATCTAAAGTATATTAGTTTTAAATTTTATAGTGCAAATTGTGTAAAAGTACATACCTTTTACCATCTGTTTTAATAGCTTTCACGCTTTTTTGGTTTCCATTTTGCCAAGAGCGACCTATGGTCCCATTTTGAAATATCCAAGTTTCATCGAGGAAGACAAACTGGTATAAGGCCTCAACCTTGGCTTGATTGTATTGCCTTAGAAATTCCACCCTTTTCAAAGCTATACTTGGTAGTTCCATGAGCCCTCGTCGCGGATTGTCCTTAAGCCACTTAAATCCAAGATCTCTAAGCAACTGCCTTAAAGACGTGGCACTACCATCAAATAATGCCCTATCTCTTAATCGAGACCATAAAGTTTGTATCGTAACTTGTTCTTCTGAAACCATGTGTAATATGACATTATAATTTAGTTAACAAATTAATGCAAATTTCTGATAAGTTATTATAATAAGATCTTACTTTTGTGATACATATTATAGATCACTTCTCGAATGGCACTTGTATCCAATGTCGCTGTGTTGGTTACACGCTTAATATAACTCCGCTTTTTCTTGGGCGATTCTAAATTTGCATCACTTTTCACACCCTCGGAAATACACTAACTGTCCTTAAACTAATTTTTAAAGCAGCAGCAACACGCTACAAAAAATGAAATAAAATTTCACTATTATTAATATACATTACATATAATTATTAGTAACCTACCTCTTGAACAGCATTTAAAGGCAACAAAGGCCCGTTGTTGTCCCTTTCTTGCTCAAAGTAGTGCATTAACGAGGCCACGAGTTCCTTACACCGACTATTTAACTGTTTGGGCATCTTTATATACCAAAATTGCCTTTATCTACTCGTAAAATGAATAATTTTGTTTTGAAACAAACAGTTGTTGATTTACAGTATGCGGGGCCAAAGGATTTATAAAGATTTGAAATGCCACAAATTGATTCAGTGTCAAAATTAATACAAATGTCAGTTCCCAGTTTAAATAAGTTTCAAGGTGACAATGTGTCAACGCTGCGAAATCGGTTTAGTGCGTTTACATGTCGATAAGTGATTGGAGCGTTTGCAAAACATTTTATTTCGCATTATGCGTCTAAATTTATCAGAAAGCAACTTATGTGATATTTTAATAACAATGTTTATATGACTATTAACCATAATAAGAGAGTAATAACCATTTTACAATTTATATATCACATTAATATGAAACTGCAATAGAGCAATTGTTTGTGATAGAAACCTAGGCATTAGGTCGGGGAATTTTTATCGTGATGACGTGCACGCCACTTTGTTTGGCGTTGACTATACCTTCATACATCCGTCATATTTCTCATATTCTTGTTGAGTCATTTATTTTAACAGTGAGTAGATCTGACCAAAAGAAATGTTTTTCCTTTAACATTTTTCCGCTAAAATTAAAGTAACAAAGTTATAGCCCTTTAGAAGTTTGAGTACCGCCCTGTCTCAATAATAATATTATGTGCTCGTGTTTGGCAACAACGGATATAATCCGCCTTATCGGTTCATCGCATCGGAAGCAAAAAAGCGAAAGAATTTGAAACGCTTATCACGCTGTTTTTACTACAATTTTATTCAGTTGTATTCAGTCAATGTGTCAGTCGGTAACGCGTGAGTGAATAGTGGTGTTTGTTGCGTGGCTCAAACGAAATAAAAAATGGCACATGTTTACGAAAATGCTGAACTTGTGGACATGATTATTACGTACGGGGGGCAGTCTTTACATACATCGGATTCTATACGCGGACGTAGGTATGTCGGATTTTGACGAAACTTATATATGACACTTTAACCACGCCAAGGAAGAAAAGGGTTTGTAGTCTTTGAATATCGTTGCAGTGGCGGTGGAGAAAAAGGCCATAAACGAATAACATAAAGATCGTTCAAACTATTTGACGCTTCAGATAATGAATACTGTTTGTAGAGCGGCCAGGTATCGGAGGGGTGATGTCTTCCACATTTATAGTACACTTGTCTCCGTCAGGATGATAGCCTGTTTGTCATAAGCGTGCGATTTTTGTTTACCGCTCTTGATATTTGATATAAAACATTGCACTGCCTAAGGATACTACTACAATGTTCACAGTCTGTATTAGAAGTGTTGTTCTAGAGTGAAAACAGCGTTTTCAGTTCATGTACGTGTGCAAGAGCGAGTAGCAGCTGCGTTACGGATCAGCTTGCGCAATTTCCCTTAGAAAAGTTATGCTACGCGCATGGTACCATCTGCTTACTTATTTTGTACGGCATTATGGGGTAGCCGCCAACAACCGTGAAAAGAACTACAGGTCCATTGTTGCCACAAGATTTTAAGCTGTTAGCTTGAAAAGCAATATTTATATCGAATGAATCATTTTGTTTTTATTTTGCTTATAGGGGCCGTTCAAGTATTACGTGAGCACTATGGGGGGGGCGGGGGGGTTCTTTTTTTGCTTATTTTGGATGACATGGGGGATAGAGGAGTCTAGATGATGATTACGTCATCGGTAGTTATTTACTTTTTTACACGAATGGCAACTCACACATTGTCTTTGCTTGAAAACGAAACGCATTTTCGAGGATTCCCGCAAATAATGCATACGTTTAGTGAACAGTGCGCGGTCTAAATTTCCTCTACCAGTGTATTGTTTCGTGTGGATACTATAGCGAGTAGACATATTGTAAGCATAGTAAAGCGAGTTAACATTTGTGTTACCATTGATTCCATTAGCCAAAGTTTAATGTTTAAATAAGATGTCGTTTCACATAGACAAATCCAGGTTATACCAAAAATTGTTTGAAAGTTTTAAAAAATATCATACAAGTACGAAAGTACAAAATGTACAAAAGTGAGTTAACGAAGTGTGGCGAAATTACAAATTACAAGCAAAATCCGACAAGGAACTAGATATTATTGTATCTAAGAGAATCGAAGGAGAATTGCAAGCGGCGACTAAGAATAAATCCAATCTACTAATTTTTTTTTTCTAAGGTGAGTGACGAAATTATTTTAGGTACCTATGAGTACTAGAAATATTAGAATGCGCCAAAAAGTTTCTCTTTACTGATTAGAAAATATTATGGCTTATCTCAAAGTATAGAGGTAATATTCATTATATTATAGATTTATTTCTTATGATTGATTCCGTCAATTGGTCACAAAGTACAGGATGTTAGTTTTATACGTATATACAGAAAACGAACACCCTGTATTTTGTGACCGGAAAGAATTGCTCGTTTAAACGTATTAGATTTAAAGTCATAGGGTTTTGTATTTACCATATATTTTGCCATACTTTGTATTTATGTAGCTTAATAAGAGAATCTTTAGCAGAAGCCATAGAAAGTTTTTATTTTTAGGCAACCTGTAAACCTGCAGAAAAAACACAAATTATACAGTCAGCTTCAAATATTAAAAAAGAGGAAGAAGATAAAATAAAACCCGGTAATGAATCACAACAGCAATGCGAAATTAATGAAAATACAGATAAACAGAGAACAAAACCTTCTCAGGAAGCTATGAAAAATAAGATTGCTCTACTCGAAAAAAATCGGAATGCTTTGTATTCTGCCAGAGATATTATGCCAAGCCGTGCTGAAGTTGATAAACAGATCATTAAGTTGCGCGAGGAAATAGAAACAGCAAAACAGTCTTTAAACAGGAAGGTTCAAAACACAGTTGCCCAGAAGAAACACAGGGATGGTATGAAAAGAAAGTTAGAAGATATTTGTCATAAAAATTCAGAAATAAATAAAGACTACCTCTGAGGGATTCAGTGGGACGTCCTAATCTTGGAAGCAATCAACATTCACTATTGAAAACAATCGCGGATATAGCTTTATTTGGGAGTGCAGCAGATGATAGAAGACGAACGGAATCAATTCGCAGCGTAAAAACTCTTGATGAACGCACACACGAATTACGTAAAATAGGATTTGACATTAGTCGCAGTGGGACATATCTTCGTTTGATTCCCAGAAAATCTAATTCTGCAGAGGGACGAAGACATGTAACGACAGTCCCTGTTAAGCTCATTCGGGCTCAAACTGATCACCACAAGAGCCAGTTAGATAGCAAGTTCGCTGAAATATCAATCCATTATTTAGAGAACATAGCATCCATACTTGGACCAGATCAAGTATTTTTCATATCTCAAGATGATAAAGCTCGAGTCCCTATTGGCGTAACTGCGGCAAATAAGCAAGCACCACTTCTAATGCACATGGAATATAGAATTAAATTGCCTGATCACTATAGGGTACTCGCTGAGCGTCATAAATTAATACCATCTGTTTGTGCTGGTATCAAAATCACTTCCAATATGCTATGACAACCGTAAGCCATTGGATATTCTGGACCAACATGCATCGCTATTCGAAGTGGAAAGTATAGTTCATCTATTGCTAATACTCATGCTCAGAATTTCGAGACACTTCTCGAACTTGAAGAGTTTTGACCATTAGCTAAAACTGACCATGGACTAGTAAAACCAGTGGTAATGATGACGGTTGATGGAGAGCCAAATGAAAGTCCACGTTATCAAAAAGTCATAGGGTTGGCTATACAACACTTTAAGCGACATGATCTGATGCATTGTTTTTAGCTACCAATGCTCCTGGAAGAAGTGGGTATAACAGAGTAGAGCGCAGAATGGCTCCTCTTAGTCGGGAACTGGCTAGTTTAATATTGCCTCATGACCATTCTGGGTCTCTTTTGGATGAACGTGGCGTTACAATTGATGAACATTTAGAAAGATATTATTTCGAATTTGCAGCAAATTGTAAAATGTAGAAATACAGAATGCTGTCGTCCAAGAAGTGGCCTATTTAGATTACTAGACTAAGGTTTCTTCCACCACCTGTAAAAGTAAAACAAACAGTTGATGACTTGGTTTTGGATGAAGGAGGGCAATTTCTTAATCTTCCAGTCAATTTAGCTCTACGCTTAAGTGCTTCACTCAAAGATTTCCTGCAAATGCCCTACGATTATTTTTATCCGACGGTAAAATTGAGGCTATCAAGTCGAACATGCAAAACGTGTGGTCTTTATCATGCTTCCGTCAAGTCACTCAATCGTCACATCGAAAATATCCATAAAAAAGTAAACATGCACACTGATAGGAAAGTTAGACCTGTAAGAGTCGCTGCTCGTCGTGCTAATGAACTGATGTGCATTATTCACAATTTAGAGCACCATGATGTCGAACGGCTCGATGAGAACGACGTAGACATTCCAAAATCCGATGAAAGCGAGCAAACTCACAACACTGAGAAGCAATCGAAGCAATCCAATGTCATCGAAAACTTAGAATCATGGATTCGGGTTTCATGGACTGAAGACTGTTAATTTGAATTCAATATATGTACCAAAAATTTAAAATAAGTTAGTAAGTGTTATGTTAGTAAGATATAATATCTTTGTCCTTTACTCTATGTTGAATACCGTATCAGTAAAATATAATCTCTATCCTAAATCTATTTTCTTATTTTTCAAATTATGATATTACAATTATAATATTAAAAAAAACAATACATTAATTGACAAGTGTTTATGTAAGCATAGGGGGAGGGGGTAGGAGCTTTGCTTACTTTTGCTGACAAGGGTGATGGGGGGGGGGGAAATAATTGTAATAAATCTGCTTACGTAGTACTTGAACGGCCCCATATTATTTATTCTCCGTAGTTTCAGATAAAATGAATCCAAGAACAAAAATATCGGAATTTCTCTATTAAAATAAATGGCGCGATTGAAGATGTTAATGACCGAGAATTTGGTTGAGTGAAAAAGTGACGGAATTTTCATTCACGTACTTACCATCAATGGTTTCATTATTTCTTTCAAATGCTGTAATTGCTCGCAAGCGAAAATCAGCCATGAGCAAAACAGACTATCTAGGAGATTTGAATGAGCCATAGAGAAGAATACGTAGTAAATCTGGAATACTAAGGAAATGTAGTACGGCATCCCAGACATTGCATCCCATGGATACCATGACCTGACGGGTAACCTGGGGATCTCTTCTGTTATAGTCTCGTTCTCGTTGTCAGGATCCGGTATGTTGTGTACACTGTCCCCCACAAAAGTTACTCCGGTCCACGCTGAAATGGTAGACAGGATCATAATTCGATATGTTGGAGTTCGGAACAAAAAAAAGTAAAGTTTTGATATTTGCTCGTATTTAGATTGTTTGTACATCTACAGTATATTCAGATAAGAGATAGACCGGATGTAAACAAAAGGTTCGGGTGATTTTCACGCTAACGCCGCCGTCTCGACGTAAAACAGGAGCCCTCATTGGTCAATTCGCAATTAAATGCCTATGCCGAGCGGCAGAGCAGTCGTATCAAGGCAGAGTCACATTCAGGTTCAGACGTGTTACGTATGTCGTGTGCATCATTGCAATTTGATATTTCTTTGGACGTTTTCGTTTGTTATCTTATTAAGTTGTTGAGTTTGTCGTTGTTATTGTTATACCTTGTTATTGATTGTTATTGTTATCAACTGCTTGCGCAAAATGCCCAGTAGTACAGATACTGCCGATGAAGTTGTAAACTCCTGTAGTCCACCTAGGAAACGCTCTAAAAAAAGACACCTGAGTGCAGAAATGAAAGAGGTCATTTTGAATATATATAAGATCGAGCGCGAGGAGAACGAGGCATCAACCATCAAAGAAATTGTTGTGAAGGTTTCTCACAAAGTTGGGGTGTGTCGCGCATCAGTGTTTAATGTGTTAAGACAATACAAAAAAAATCACACCTTTTCTGAGCCAATGACCAGTAAACATCGCAAAAGTATTGTTAAATCATTGGATGAAGCTGATAAGCATGCGTCTAGGAGGAAAGTGCATGAATTCTTCTTTAGGAATGAAATACCTACTATAGATAAAGTACTGCAGGAGGTAAATGGAGATACAACGTTGCCAAATTTCAAACGATTAACTTTCCATGCGTTACTTAAGCATTTAAATTTCAAATGGAAGAAGCGGGGTCGTAATAGTTTACTACTGGATAGAGAAGAAATTGTGCTATGGAGGAGGGATTATTTAACAAAAATTGGGAAATATAGAAATCAAAACAGGAAGATTTATTACCTTGATGAAACGTGGGTAAACGCAGGACACACTACAAGTAAAGTATGGGTTGATGATTCTGTAACTTCATCCAGGAGGGCCTTTCTAGATGGACTGTCCACCGGATTAAAAAATCCAGCAAGTAAATACGAGTAATAGACAACAATCGGATGTTTTTCAAACCTTGGGAACAAGGTTCTAAACATTAATTCCAGGGGGCAGATAAAACATATTACAAGTAACAAAACTTTTATAACTTTCGATAAAATGCGTGGATGTTTTATTGTCATTTTCATTTGTTGGAACTTTTTTAAGCCATGTTTTTATGTGTTTTCGATATTTCAATAATTTTTTAATATAATCTTAAAATATGTCGAATATTATAAACTTAAAAAAAGTTACTAAGTTTTATATTGTGTACCGTTCCTAATATTTCTAATCATTTTCATTCATACTTTAAGCTTTATAAAATTATAACTTGTTAATATTAATATTTGCGCGTATTTCAGGTTCCTGATCATTCATTTTTTAAAGGTTTATAACTTTAAATTAAATTGTAAAGCGCTGAGTAATCATACGACGTTCAATATTCTTTCTTTCAATATGACTAAATAATCCCAATTATAGCAATCTGATACTCATGTCTCAAGTTGAAAAGAGAATGTGGGAACTGGACAATATTTTAGAGGAACAAGTCGAGCCATTCATTATTGACGTTGGTGCTTCAGGCAGTAGCGATGATGAAAGCTCATCAAGCTCATCTTTCCAATAAAAGATGTCGTTCATCAAATTCGCTAAGTTATAAGTAATTATAAAGCTACTGTATTTTTTAATTAATTATTGACATTTTTGAACCCATTTTGGCAAAACCTATTCAAGAATCTACTTTCTGACAATGTTCAACCATGCACATTTTTTTACGTTTTGAACGTTTTAATTTGGTTACATATTTACCTAGAAATCAAAAAATATACTACAATATTCTAAAAGCAATTTTAAGAGATATACGATTATTTTAAATTTAGGCTAATTTAAACGCCATTTTGAGATTATATTCGACTGTATTTCACCAAACATCAGGCGGCATCCGAAGCTGGAAATCGAAGCGAAAATTTTGAAACCCTTATGTATATTTACATCATTATATATTTCTTACCCCACCCCCACATGATCCTATATCCATCACCAATCGTATACACATCGAATTGTGCTAATTTACTACAGAGTTACGCAAAGCAGCATCTCCTATCTAAAATATGTACTGCGTGACTCTTAATACGTCCCTGCCGAATGTTACAGCGTTCGATGATCACGTGGTCTTGTTTATGTCCGGTCTATCTCTTATCTGAACATACTTTAGTAGCTGTAAGAGAAGAAGCACGATTTTTTTCGGTGACACAAAATTTTCGAATCAACAAGGATTACATTGGGATATTGAAGTATATAGAAACAGGTACTTTCTTATGAAAGAATCAAATTTGAAAATGAAAAAAAGTTTAGGTGCCAAACAGGAGGTAAATGTTTCAAATCAAAATTTGGGTAATTCCGAAGTTAGGCGCTTGTTTAGACATCGTATAGGAAAAGGAATAGTTATGTTCAAAATGATATACATGGTGTAAAGTTAGTAGTGGATCGACGAGGGTCAAGTGATAGAGGGCCTCAAAACCTATCGAATAAACCCTATATGAGTAGTCCGAAATTTTATACTTCAGGAAATATTTGCAATTTTGTGAAATTTCGAAAAAAACGATATAATGAACTTTCAATCGCAATTACAACTAAACCATTAGGTTTAGGGCTGTGATTTTCTTACTGAGATGAGTTAAATGATTAGTTTTAGCAATGGTTATCTCACTTCTTAACAGAGCTTATTAGAAATACACTCAAAAAATCTCACATTAATTTTTGTTAAAAATCTTGGAGGACGGTAAACAAAATTGAGGTTGTATTTCATTATTCATTTTATTGTGAAAATCATTTCAATCCATGTAAAATTAACCCTCAAAATTTCAGCTTGCTACGATAAGTGACTCACCTTAAAAAATCTGTATGTTTGACGCAGGTGGTTATCTACAGGGTGTTTCAGTTTATTGTTGCATAACTTTAAGATTAGATAGAACTGTTAAAATTAATGCATAAAGTCTATATAAACATGGGTCGAAAAATGCGTGGCTTCCGAAATACATGATGTTTAAGTTTACTTTCTAAAATAGTTTTTTTTAAATATTTCGAACAATGTTTGATGTATAACAGTGAAAATTGGTATACAAGGGTTTTCTGGTACGACAAAACGAACCATGGGCATAGTTTTACTGTAGCCGCTAGAGGGCGCTCTCTACTGGACCTGTAGTGTATTAAAATGACCGAAATTTTTTTCTTAGTGCAATTTTTTGCCTCTTGAATAAAAAAACTGATTTTTCGCACTTTACATAAAACATAAAAAAGCTCTCTTATGAATTTTCGTTATAGTTAGCCGTTTTTGAGATATTTCGATTTTTAAGGTTCGATGCATTTTTAATTATTTATGGGAACATAATACTTTTTTTACATTTTCGATTTGGGCATTACAAGTAATTAATATGATCGTTTAGATTGTGTTTTTAAGCACAGCAATAATTACTAACTCCAAATAAACACAAAAAAACAGAATATTAATTTGTTTAATTTTCCAATATTATTATTAACAAATTAAATTAATTATTTACAACTAAAATTGAGTTCCCAACCAGGGGGGCGCGCCTCCCAAGGAGGGCATAGACATCATGTCAAAGAAAAACACGAAGGTTGGCTTATTTAACTGACATATTTGACTCCTTGAATGAGATAACCTTGAAACTTCAGGGCAGAAACAACACTACAACAAGCAACTACGATTATATTCAGGGGTTCATATCAAAGCGTCAACTTTGGAATCAAAAACTGTCTTCTGAAAATGTTATATCTTTTTCTCGGCTGATTGAAGGAATTAATAATAACAAACTGGGCGCAACTTTAAAAGCTGACATAAAAACTCATTTGCAAGCGCTGGGAGACGAATTTCGCCGATACCATCGAGACATCAAACAGCGAAATCTTCATGATGTCGATAGCGACCTGATGATAGCTCTGGCAAAAACAGAACCTAGAATCAACCAACTGCTACAGAACATGAAATCTCAAGTGTTTCATTAGTACTTACTCTTTCGATAAAAAACATTTATCAGTTTATTTGAAAGTTTCTTTATTAGAACTTAAATAAAAGTCTTTGTACCTATATAATGTGTGTTTTCTTTTGTATTTATTGAAAAAATAAAAAGGGACATGAAAATATACTTTATAGTCCGGGGAGCCTCAACAAAAAAAAAAGGTTGGGAAACCCTGCTCTATCTATTAATGATTTATTGTCTACGAAGTTGTTATCTGTTGTTCTGTCCGTAAATTCAATACCTAACCTGTTTTTCCCTTTTGAATTGATCTTCCTAATATTGCATAAACGTAGATCGAACATTTCCTTCGCTATTCTCATGTTACTAATTTTTCCTATATTCTGGTTGCTATTGCCATCGATGAGAACGAGATACGGTCCAAAGTTATTGTCTGAATAGCACCATTTCTTTCTTGTGTCTGCGTTTGTTTCCTTATTTTTTCCAGTATTGTTGCTTGTTTCTTTATTTTGTGTATCCTGGCTTCCCACAATAATTTCATAAATATCTATCTGGGATAGATTGTCATTTTGCGATATTGTGCGGGGAGCCGAATTACCCCCCATCTCTACTTCCATCGACTTTTGACCGTTGCTTTTTTATTCGGTCGAGTGATAGGTTAACATCTCTTACCCAGAGAAACTGGCAGTCGGGCAGATTGGCAGAACACGAGAGGGTAGTTATTTTCACACACCTAACGTTCTGATTGTCCTATATTTGCTTTTAATCAGTTAATTTCTCGGATTCACTATCACCACTTCTGCACCATAAGATGGCCTTTCTTTATACTCCAACTACCACGAAGGCCTAAGGCCTAAATACCCATTGGGTACCATGGGGCTACAGGGGGATACAGCGGAAAGGGGGAACGCCACACGGACTCTGGCGAGGGAACACGCGTATACTTTATCTGAAGTCACTTGAAACACTGTGAAATATCGGGTGCGTTTTATATATCTATATTTAACACGCTCTGTTGCTGCAAAAATCGCCAAATTTCGCAGCAAATATCCCCCGTATAAGAGATCAAAGGCAGTTTCACCGGTCCACGTGGAGTAAAGCACGCCTATGCGTGGACATAGCCAATGAGAAAGCGTGTATTTCAGAGCTCCGAACAAGTGCAGGTGGCTACTGCAAATTGAAACAGTTTAGCCAGTGCCGTGTAGCGGTGAATAAACGTGTTTTCTTTAGTCTGTCCGAGTTTTTTCATAGATTTTATTAGTTTGTGTGTTTTTGACTTTTGAATACTCAGTTTACTTGTTGATTTAATTGTTGTGTTGATTGTTCTTGTGTGTCCTAAATATGGCTCTTTGGAGACCTTGGGAAAATGCTCCAAGCCACGAGGAGATGGTTGATGAACCTGTGCAGGCAGAATTCTTTCATAAAGATTTAGAGGAACAGACCCAAAGAGTAATCCTAAATATGTATGATTGTCTGAAAAACGAAAATCCAGATTCCTCGCAAAATCAAATTTTAAACAGAATTTGTATCCTGACAAAAATCAGTCGCTCTACCATTTATCGGGTTATAAAAAGGGGAGATGTAGTCAACCAGTCCTTCCACAGAAAGCGCATAGGGCAAAAATTAAAAAGAATAGACGTGGGTTATCAGGAAGATATTCGTCGTATAATATAACGGATTTTATAAAGAAAATTTGGTGCCCACGTTGGAAATGATACGGGATAAATTAAAAGATTATCCTGAAGATTTTTATAATTACAAATGCTTAGACTCACTGCATTGTATTGTAAAACTGTGTGGTTTTCAATACAAAAAATTAGATAAAAGAATGGTGATTATGGAGTCGTCTCGAATCGTTGAATTGCGCGAAGAATTTTTGCACAAAGTTAAAATCTATAGAGAGCAGAAAAGAAATCTGATTTACCTGGATGAAACGTGGTATGATACCCATGATGTTGTGCAGTACGGCTGGGTTGACGACAGCAACAAGTGCATTTTAAATGCACCATGCAACCGTGGAAAACGAATCATTATTCTCCATGCTGGCAGTGAAAATGGATTTATACCTAATGCCTTGTTGTTATCTGCCAAAAATATCAAAGAATCATGTGCCGACTATCATGAGGACATGACCTCCGACTTATTTGAAAAGTGGATAGAGCAGCAGTTAATACCAAACATTTCGCCAAATTCAGTGATTATTATGGACAATGTGCCATACCATTCCCGACAGAAAAACAAAATTCCGAATACAGGCACAAAAAAACAAGACATTATTGATTTTATGAAAGATAAGGGAATGGAAAAACCACAAAAATCAACCAAAGCCATATTATTGGATCTTATTAAAAGACAAAAATTTGAAAAAGAGTATGTTTTTGACAATCTGCTTCAGCAAAATGGCCATGAAGTATTAAGTCTACCTCCCTATTACTTCATTTTTAACCCGATTGAGTTGGTCGGGGCTGCTTTAAAAAAAAAGTAAGAAAACATAATCAGACCCCTCAATTAAGTGAATCGCTATTGGCCACAATAAGAGATGCAGTATCTCATATTGCTGCCACAGACCTATGGAAGCAGTGTTCTAGGCATATTATTGAAAAAGAAAATGAATATTGTGTTTTGCCTCCTGTAAGTCCCGTTGTAATTCCTCTACAAGATGACTCTAGCGACAGCTCCGAAGGCGAGGATGATATATACGTTAAATACCTATAATGTAAGTCTTTATATACCTTTTTATATACCTACCTGCTATGTAAATACTTGCCTATGTCAAACGTTGGAATTCTGTAATTTTTCCATTTCTTAACTTTCAGTCAACATAAATTAAACTCCCAATATAAGTATTTTTTATCCCAAATCAAAAAAATAAGAAGATAGTAAAATCCATTTATTGTGATATTAAAACATTATTATTATCGTTCTAAATAAATGACCGCACGCCTATGATACGTCATGAAATTACAAAGGACGCGCCGACCAAAGGTTTTTATGCTATTTCAAGTGACTTCAGATAAAGTATACATGCAACATGCACACATTCTGGCTCCGCCTACGAGATCCGCCGGGTGGTAGCTCCGCGTTCGGCAGTCAGAGACCGTCTACCACCTACGGACAATCACAACATCCATAGCCAAGGGAAAAATTTCTCCTGGGACGGGATTCGAACCCGCACAGCGCACGGCGACTGATCAGAAGACCGAAGAGTCTACTATTGCGGCCACCGCTGCTGCCTGCTAACACGCGAATCAGAGAAATTCATCTGAATTACGTCCAGGACCTCATGAGAGATATTCGAAAGTTGCGTCTGATACGGCAGAATGGGCCACTCCACATAATTTGATATTATAGTTTAGTTGTCGTAAAAACGTTTCATAACTGAGAATAATTATTACCTGCCGCAGATACAATGGTTGTCGCACAAACGCAGTACAACAAGGTTCTCATCTTCTTTAGAGCTAAGGCGTGGAACCTGTTGTTTGACTCTACAAATAATGGATGACTGTTCGCTTGATTCCATATTCCTAAGCATCTAGAAATGAAAAATTCATAATATTATAAATCTGCAATTGAATATAATTTACGAAACAATTTCTAAGAAGTCATGTTTAACAATATAATAGATGGTAATAGCTTATATTATTTCTTTATACAGTCATTACACAATAGCTTTCTTTCTCGCAACATCACTAGTACCACATTACTACAAATTAATATTTTTTCACTGCTAACGGGAAAAATCACCATTATGGACCGCAACGTCCATAAAAAAAGTAGCTTGTATCTTTCTAGGTAAACAACGATAACAAAAAGCCCCAATGGAAATGATAATCAATTGGTATATCAATTTAAAAACAAACATTCGTTAGTGCCTATACAATATACTTATTAGACTAGCAACAAAATTAATTAAATAAGCAGGATTTCTTTGTCTACTGAAAAAATAGGGCAAAGATGCTAGACGTATCTCGCCTGATGAAATAAAAAATATCTTCCTCACCAAAATTTGAAAAAGAAATAAAAAAACTCTTGCTTCAAAAGGAACAAGAACAAGTTCACAGAATTAAAGAAAATTGGTAAAATATTACACTTACATTTAGTGTGTCATGTTGATATACTAAGTGACATATAAATCCGAACACCCAGTTTAAATGGTTTTATTTTAATAAAAGTTGGTAAATGTGTTTATCTTACTGTAAATAACAAGTGAAAACATTTTCAGCCTTATCAGTTGGACATTCCGTGTTTTATACTCTAAAAATGAATATTTCAGCCGCAGTAAAGAATCATCGTTGGCGGATTTTGGTTCTTGACATCCTTTACGATCGGTTACGATGCCTAGAGTACGGAGACCTGTACCATTTCGTCAACTTAGTGAGTTTGATAGGGGCCGTATAGTGGGACTTCGGGAAGCTGGACTTTCTTTTCGGGCAATTGCAGTTAGAGTGCAAAGAAGTGTAGACACTGTGGTTAGGGGTTGTCAGGCATGGCTTCGACAAGGCCGTACGCAAAGAGCAAGGGGCACTGGACGCCGCCGTAGAACAACAAACCGTGAAGATCGCCGCCCAAGATTATTGGCCTTAAGGGACCGTTTCTCCACTACCAGGTCCATTGCAAATGAATGGTTTGCAGAACACGGAAGACCTATTGGCATGCGAAGTGTTTACCGACGAATGAGAAGTTTTGGCTTGTTTTCATACCGGCCACACTGGGTCCTCCCTTTAACTCGAGAACACCGACGTAATCGCCTTGAGTGGTGCAGACAACGGTCGCTCTGGGATCAGGAATGGAACAGTATTGTCTTTAGTGACGAGTCTCGATTTTGTTTAGGCATGCACGATGGTCGTGCCAGGGTTAGAAGGCGACGTGGTGAAAGGAGGAATCCACAGTTTTTTGTTGAAAGACATGTTCATCACACTGTTGGAGTTATGGTTTGGGGTGCTATAGCTTATGGTTCCAGGTCACCTTTAATCTTCATCAGAGGTAACATGAACGCGCAGCGTTATATCCACGAAGTTCTAGAACCCCATCTTTTACGCTATCTTGACACCCTGGCAGATCCAACTTTCCAACAAGATAATGCCCGACCACATGTTGCAAGAGTCACAATAGACTTCTTTCAACATAATGATTCACATTGTTACCATGGCCACCAAGATCTCCCGACTTATCCCCAATTGAGCACGTGTGGGATATGATGGGTAGGAGATTGCTCAATTTGCAGCGTCCTCCTCAGACTCTAGAAGCACTTCGAGAGGAGTTGGTGGTTGCCTGGAATGAGATACCACAGGAGGACATTGACCACCTGATCAGAAGCATGCCTAGGCGTAGCACATCAGGGTGCATCCACACATTATAAAAGGTCAAAGGGCTTTAAAGCAGTGCAATCATTTTGAAATTTTTATGATTTACTTATTATGCTTCAATAAGTACTTATACAAAATTTTATTAAAATAAAACCATTTAAACTGGGTGTTCGGATTTATATGTCACTTAGTATATTTAAAAAAAGTCTGTTACCGATCTTATCATATATAAAATAAATGTTTGACTTATCTATCATGTTTTTTTTATTTATAAAGTTCATGACTGTGTCTTTGTCTTTTGTATCTTTTAAAAAAAGTATAGATGTTGTAGCAAATTAGTAAACCGTTGGTTAGGACATATTTTTACATTTCTGTTTTTTAGATGTAGGTTCTTAAAATAAAAACAATGTTAACGCTTTGTATATTCTAATAGCTCTTATCATTATCTTTTTTAAATCTTCAACATCATGTAGCTAAAAATGTGCTAGCAGGGCAACGATAAGTTGAAAGTGTACGACCTCAATGGGTATATTCCCCCACGCACAAGCATTTGCTTCTTGTGGTGCTGTATATGTTTATTGCGGGATATGCTTTTTTCTTTTGCTCCTATGTTGTATTTTTTCTTCAATAAACATTATTATTATTATTATTATTTTAAATGATATCCTGATAAGTTCCATATGTTAGTTTGACAACATAACATGATTTCAAAAGAGTCATGCATGCTAAATTATGGCCCACGGGCGCTTGTGTGAATCGTTTTTTGTTCTTCAAAAGCAAGATTATTCCGAGATTTACTCCTAATACGGAGTTGGATCAAACTCACTCTGCGAATTTTGACAGTAACTTTGATACAAATAGTCTTAAGCTGTTTCATGTGAATGTACAATCTATTAAAAACAAGGTCCAAGAACTCGAAGCTTATCTTAACGACTCGGGTATATCCATTGTCTGCCTAACAATCATCTATCAAGTGATGAAATACTGTAGAAGCTATAAGAATAACCGGATACAACGTTATTTCAAGTTTTGTCCGAAAAACGTCAGAAAAAAGAGTCTCATAATAGCTGAGCACGACATACAAGCTGAAGCTGGGAATTTCCAGATTTAGGGTACTTGTACCATTTTGTCTACTTTGAGCATAAACTATTCAGGATATTAGATCATTCATTAGGTATTTTGAAAGGTCATAGTGACGAGACGTTTTTCATCGCTATAGACACTTTATATGCCTACTAATTTTTTGTTACAGGGATCGTAGAATATTCTGTAATGTTGTTGACGATAGACAAAATTGCAGATTGCTGTACCTACATTAACTGGACTAAATTCTCACTCATAACTTTTTTCTAGCGACACTTTGGTTAGAAACATATCCCGTGAATCTGGTGAAAAATAACGAAAGACAACTGCAGTAAAAGTAGTACAGTCTCAAAAGTAGCGATTTTCCACAAATTCTTAAAAATAGTGTAAAACTTGATAAGGACATACGAGTATATGGATTTTCTGATTGGAAATGGCTCCCTCTAACACCCGCTTTTGTTTGCTCCATGACTTCTGGGACCATATACTTAATTTTATATAAATGCGTTTCATCATTAAGCTGACGCGTGAAGGTCGTTTCTATACTAAGTGACATATAAATCCGAACACCCAGTTTAAATGGTTTTATTTTAATAAAAGTTGGTGAAAGTATTTATCTTACTGTAAATAACAAGTAAAAAAATTTTCAGCCTTATCAGTTGGACATTCCGGTTTTTATACTGCTTGTTTTTAATTCACTAACGCTCTAAAAATGAATATTTCAGCCGCAGTAAAGAATCAACGTTGGCGGATTTTGGTTCTTGACATCCTTTACGATCGATTACGATGCATGTTCATCACACTGTTGGAGTTATGGTTTGGGGTGCTATAGCTTATGGTTCCAGGTCACCTTTAATCTTCATCAGAGGTAACATGAACGCGCAGCGTTATATCCACGAAGTTCTAGAACCCCATCTTTTACCCTATCTTGACACCCTGGCAGATCCAACTTTCCAACAAGATAACGCCCGACCACATGTTGCAAGAGTCACAATAGACTTCTTTCAACATAATGATGTCGCATTGTTACCATGGCCACCAAGAACTCCCGACTTATCCCCAATTGAGCACGTGTGGGATATGATGGGTAGGAGATTGCTCAATTTGCAACGTCCTCCTCAGACTCTAGAAGCACTTCGAGAGGAGTTGGTGGTTGCCTGGAATGAGATACCACAGGAGGACATTGACCACCTGATCAGAAGCATGCCTAGGCGCGTTGCACATCAGGGTGCATCCACACATTATTAAAGGTCAAAGGGCTTTAAAGCAGTGCAATCATTTTGAAATTTTTATCATTTACTTACTATGCTTCATTAAGTACTTATACAAAATTTTATTAAAATAAAACCATTTAAACTGGGTGTTCGGATTTATATGTCACTTAGTATAATTCGGATCTTAGACTAAAAATGATTACTCACTTAAGTCACTTACCTATAAAACAGTTTTGACCTAACAGCAAAATAAATTAGCTTTGTTATACAATGTGTAAAAAATAGAATGGTTATTGTATTAGCTGCTAGATCATTCACATCATCCTTTTCAACCACCAAGTTACCAAATATGCATCTGAAATGAAAAAAAAATCCCTACTAATATTATAAATGTGTGGATGTTTGTTATTCAATTACGCCAGATTGGCCGAACGGATCTGGATGAAATTTGGTAGATAGATCATGGTTTGGAATAGCACATAAGCTACCATTTATCCCGGGTAATAGCTTTAAAATCTCTATTTGCTGTTGTTGTGCCCCTACAAGACTGTTAATATTTGTAGGGGTATATTTTGCAGAGATCTTTTGAATGCAAGTCTAGGAGAGATCTGTGAAGAACTGAAATATCAAAGCGTTGCTCCGGTGAGACCCTTGAGGAAAAGAAAAACGGCGAACTTGTAGAAACTGCAAAACAACAATTTATAAAAGGAAAAATCCAACACCTTGATTCTCACAGACGTTCAAGGATTCTAAATTAAAAAATTATTATAAAAAGTTTATGATTACTAAACGTTGAAACACATTGTTTCTCGTATTAGAAAAAGTACATTATCTAAAATATAATTCGACGATGGGGTAATAACAAATGAAGAAATAATAGCAGATCGAATGATTACCTATTTCATCGAAAGTATCAACGACATTGTAATATCAATTATAGTCAGGGATCCCAACAAAGGTCCCATTAGCTCAGATTATAAAGCATCATCCAGTGAGTTTAGAACAATAAACATTAATCGTATCAAGAAGATTATATCAGAAATTAAATCAAATCAAAATAAGAGTGAGATTTTGTCTAAAAGTGTGCTTAATGAATGTTTTGATATTATTAGAACAAGAATATTAATCCTGATAAATTGCTGTTTAAAATATGGCGAATCTGCAACAAAACTGAAGTGTTCTACCATAACTCCTGTTTCTAAAGTTAATAATTCTGAGTTGTACACCAATATGCGGTCAATAAACGTTCTGCCAGATGTTGAAAAAGTTTCTGAAGACATTATTGACGAACAGATCAACGAATTTATTCAGGAAATAACATTTTAACTAAATTTGAAGCTAGATTCAAGAAGAAACACTCAACTGAAACGGCAACACAACTAGTTTGAGAGGACTGGAGGAGATGTATGGATAATCGTAAACATATAGTAACAGAGTTTTTGGACTTCAAAAGGGCGTTTGAAACTGTTGACAGAGATAAATTACTTACAAAGTTGGATCAATACGAATTTAAAGGATCTGTATTCAAAATTCTACAAAACTATTTAATTGACAGAAGTCAAAAAAACAAAAATTAGATCTACAATATCAAGATCAAAAAATTTTTCTGTTGGTATACCATAAGGTAGTAAACTAGGTCCACTACTATTTATTTTATACATTAATGACATTTGTGATATTTTAGATCATTATAAGCTTCAGATATTTGTAGATGATACATTAATATACATATCAGATGAAGATATCGACACTGCTTTAAAAATGCTAAATTCTGACTTGGCAAAAATCGTAAATTGGTTAAATGTAAACTTAAATTGAGTACTTCCAAAACAAGATGTATGCTAATAGGAAAATACCTAAATGAAAATACTATCACAGTAAGGATAAATGGAGAAATAATTGAAAATGTTGAATCAATTAAATATACAGGGTGTCCTAGAAGTCGACGTCAAGCCGAAACCGGGTGATAGGCAAAGTCATAACAGCTATCAGAAAAATATTTAAAATAATTTTATGTATGTGTTTTGAAAAGTATAGGCCTTTGAAAAAAATATAGAAATTTCACACCCTACGGCAGTCTGTCAACTCCTGTTACTACAAATATTAACTTTTTTTGGATTTTATTTTTACAATGTAATGATGAATAATGCATCTTCAAACTGGTGTCTCAACCTTACTGCCAATTTTTCTCGTTCAGGAAAAATTGCCACTTATTTCCCAACCAAGTATTCCAAAGTAAAACTTTGCTCAACTTTAACTGGTTGTACTGGAAAAAAATGTACTACGAGAGTTTGGCAAGTAACCTTAAAAGTTGGCGCATTTAATAAGGATTCCAAAATGGTATAACACTTAGAAGATTACTCGTTAGCTTATCTACAAGTTTTATTTGAAGAAAAACTGATGAAAATTTTTCAAAATTTCCTAATTAAACAGCGATTATGAAAACGCACAAGGACCCTTAAGGATAACTGTTTGCACAACAGTGGGCGTCAAAATGCTGCTGATGATGATTTACCTTTACAGCAAATGCTCAAACTGTTTTCCTTCAGCCGCAATACACGCTCGACATCTTCTTAAAAAAGATCGGGTTATTAAACGAGCGAATCCACGGTTATTAACAAACTCAGCTGCTTCCAATAGTCTTTGCCATAGCTCAGCTACATTTTGAATCGGCTTGAAATACACTTTTTCTTTTACAGTTCCCCAGTCAAAATAATCTAACGGATTCAAATCTGGTGACCGGGCTGGCCACGGTAATGTACCAGACCGCCCTATCCATCTGCCTGGAAAGCTTTGATCGAGATACTCTCTCACTGAGAGTGCATAGTGCGCTGGGCAGCCATCATGCTGAAACCACATGTCCCTGTAAATACTCAGTGGCACGTCCTCCAATAAATTTTCTAAATGATTTTGCAAAAAACCTAAATAAGCCTCAGCAGTCATAGTCTCTGGGAACTCAAACGGACCGATTATTTTACCATTTAAAATTCCTGTCCAATGGTTTATTTTGAAGCGATATTGAGATTTATCTTCTCTCATCAAATGTGGGTTTGCTACGTGCCACTCGTGTAAGTTATGCAGGTTCATGTACCCATCTTTCTTAAATGTGGTCTCATCTGACTATAAATTTTTTTCAAAGAACCGTGGGTCTTCCCTGTGTCTTTCTAACATTGTGCGACACAAAGCAACTCGGGGCTCATAATCCCGGGGCAGAAGAGCTTGAACACGCTGTACGTGGTATGGATGGAGCACGTTTTTTTGCAAGATTCTATGGCCTGTACTTTTGGGCACACCTTAGTTCTATTGCACGCACTGAAGTACTCGGGTCTTCTTCGACAGCTCCTAGCACCACGTCTTCGAAGGAAGGAAAGATCTTCCCTCACCGTGTGATTGGTTTGGTAGTTGGCCCTCTGAGAACAGTAAGCGGTGCACATTTGTGAACACTCGATGATCTGGATGACGAGCTGCATTCGGGTACCTCTCACAGTAAAGTCTCGCTGCGGTACTAGCGTTGCATCTGCATTCCCCATAGCATATTCTTGTACGGTGTACACGGACATAGCGGCACTGCACAATCACACTATCAAAGATAGTCTAAGGAAAGCAAATGTTGTTTTGAAGAGCAATTAAACAGTCCAAATCCAAATCACAAGCGATCAACAGTCCAGTTCACGAATCCAAAATTAGTAACAGTACGAAATCAACAAGCACGAACATGTAAAGATGCGCAGTAAACGAAGGAGTACTGATCGGTATCAAAGTGTGCAATAGCAAGTAAGTGATGTGCTTCATCCATACCATATACAGCGTGTTCAACCTCTCCTGCCCCGGGATTATGAGCCCCGAGTTGCTTTTTGTCGCACAATGTTAGAAAGACACAGGAAAGATCCACAGTTCTTTGAAAAAATTTTATGGTCGGATAAGACCACATTTAAGAAAGATGGGTACATGAACCTGCATAACTTACACGAGTGGCACGTAGCAAACCCACATTTGATGAGAGAAGATAAATCTCAATATCGCTTCAAGATAAACCATTGGACAGGAATCTTAAATGGTAAAATATACTAAGTGACATATAAATCCGAACACCCAGTTTAAATGGTTTTATTTTAATAAAAGTTGGTGAATGTATTTATCTTACTGTAAGTAACAAGTGAAAAAATTTTCAGCCTTATCAGTTGGACATTCCGGTTTTTATACTGCTTTTTTTTAATTCACTAACGCTCTAAAAATGAATATTTCAGCCGCAGTAAAGAATCAACGTTGGTGGGTTTTGGTTCTTGACATCCTTTACGATCGGTTGCGATGCCTAGAGTACGGAGACCTGTACGATTTCGCCAACTTAGTGAGTTTGATAGGGGCCGTATAGTGGGACTTCGGGAAGCTGGACTTTCTTTTCGGGCAATTGCAGTTAGAGTGCAAAGAAGTGTAGACACTGTGGTTAGGTGTTGTCAGGCATGGTTTCGAGAAGGCCGTACGCAAAGAGCAAGGGGCACTGGATGCCGCCGTAGAACAACAGACCGTGAAGATCGCCGCCTAAGATTATTTATTGGCCTTAAGGGACCGTTTCTCCACTACCAGGTCCATTGCAAATGAATGGTTTGCAGAACACGGAAGACCTATTGGCATGCGAAGTGTTTAGCGACGAATGAGAAGTTTTGGCTTGTTTTCATACCGGTCACACTGGGTCCTCGAGATTAACTCGAGAACACCGACGTAATCGCCTTGAGTGGTGCAGACAACGGTCACTCTGGGATCAGGAATGGAACAGTATTGTCTTTAGTGACGAGTCTCGATTTTGTTTAGGCATGCACGATGGTCGTGCCAGGGTTAGAAGGCGACGTGGTGAAAGGAGAAATCCACAGTTTTTTGTTGAAAGACATGTTCAGCACACTGTTGGAGTTATGGTTTGGTGTTCTACAGCTTATGGTTCCAGGTCACCTTTAATCTTCATCAGAGGTAACATGAACGCGCAGCGTTATATCCACGAAGTTCTAGAACCCCATCTTTTACCCTATCTTGACACCCTGGCAGATCCAACTTTCCAACAAGATAATGCCCGACCACATGTTGCAAGAGTAACAATAGACTTCTTTCAACATAATGATGTCACATTGTTACCATGGCCACCAAGATCTCCCGACTTATCCCCAATTGAGCACGTGTGGGATATGATGGATAGGAGATTGCTCAATTTGCAACATCCTCCTCAGACTCTAGAAGCACTTCGAGAGGAGTTGGTGGTTGCCTGGAATGAGATACCACAGGAGGACATTGACCACCTGATCAGAAGCATGCCTAGGCGCGTTGGAGAATGCGTAGCACATCAGGGTGCATCCACACATTATTAAA